GTTCATGCACCCATGTACATCGAGCGCATGGTTCTAGGACTACATCGACCTATAGGAAATAAGTTGAAGTCTTCGGCTGATCCAGCCGACCTGATCGAGCCATGCTGTGCATAGATTCCCTGGTTTGGCGACTTAGAGCTCTACACGTGCCCAAGGCCTGGTGGGTGCATGTATGGTGGGGTCTGGTGCACATCCGATCCACAAAGGGTTTCACAGCAGCGTCCCGTAACATGCAAGACCTCCATGCCCATGTGCTCAATTGCCATCTTACAAGGCTGGCTTGGCAATATGAAGAAAGAAACCCGGCCCCTGCCAGCTTTACCCTGTCAGCAGCCGAGTGTCAATTTAACTCGATCTGCAGGCCTTCGTCCTTTCCATTCTCCTGCTGACATGGACGTATGAGATCAAGCAGGCGGGAACTGAGGTGGGCCCAAGTTGACATGGCTATAGAATATATAGAATTGATTCCATTAGAGCGCATGTTCAGGATCTACAGTGGGTGGAATTCTTTGCCGGACTTGGGAACCTCTCAGTGATGATGCGTGCCAGTGAATATGTCAGCATGCGCTTTGACATCCTAGACAATGAACAGCCCCCACACCGGTCATCCAATTACATGGACCTTGCGCATCAATCCGGCTTTGGGTTTCTTGGATGACTGGATGTGCCATTTGTGGAACCGACAAAACTGTGGTTTGAGTCATGATCGTGTCATGTCCACTTTCGTGCATGCCCTTACAAGCAACCATTGCCCGACCCAGCCCAGGCTGGCTGTCCTGGCACTGCTTCGTTGCATCGTCGATGACTTTGCCTGTCACTTTGGGATTAAGTGTTCTAGCTTTTCCAAGATGAACATCGGTACATCCCGAAGATCACCTTGTAGTTCGTTGGGTTACGCCGAGTATCCATCAGTTCAACTTGGAAACATCCTTTTGGAGAGGACAGTGATCATATGTGCATGCATGAATGAAAACATGTTTCACAACTCTAAAATCTTTTGTGGAACATTCACATGGAAAGTTGATGGAAGATCGAGAGGGGCGGGAGTATAGCATTTCTCATTCAAATGGACTAAAACAATGCCCCGATCGATCCAAGCAAAGACCATCCAAGGGGAAAACTCAAATATATCGCTGAACAAATATAACTTCAGGTTTGTCACCCCGGCCTGCCGCAGGACAAGTCTACTGGTTTTGCTAGCTTGTGCTTTGGGTGGTGCGTTTACCCTCGAGCAGCCGTCCGGGTCCCTGCTGGAGTTTTACCCTGCGTGGCGGGAGGTGATGATGAACATTTGTCGTGTTGGTGGCAACTATGCAGTGCTAGGCTTAAATTTGCACCAAAGGTTGATCAGTGCTGACATGCGGTGGTGCCATCCCCCAAAACAGCTGTTGCTGTTCATTCGAAATTAGGTTCAATGCGTCAAGTGGTGGATGGCGCATTATGGTGGTTCCACCCCAAAGCGGCATTATGCCTACGGGAACACTGCCATGATCCTGGGCATTGACCGCGGTGTCCTTCGGAAATGGAAACCAAAGCATGGGAGAATTGAAACGGCCGAGCGCTATGTTGACAAATCGGGGAAGAAACGATATAAAGGGACTGCGTCACTTCGCGCCACTGAGAAACCTGGTGTACGTATATATGCATTTTTGCGATGACCAACCTCTTTCTTTTGCTATATAATTTTTAGTATATCCTCCAAATCTCAGGGCCGACCCAACCTTCCAGCCAAGGCACTACCCAATGCCATTTGCTAGGGCTGTGGCAGACAGGATCGAGGCTTTCAAGAAGACCCGCAAAGGTTTTCCTAGCTTGCCGGAGAACTTGCCGACAGCTCTCCAAACATTCATGCTGGACTGGGAGGAGTCGACTGATGTGTGGGAGTTTGCTGGGCTAGCAGAGTTCTATGAGTATCTGCGGGGTTGCAATCGAACGACCATCCCTGAGGAGTGGAAACCACATTTTCCGAAAAAAACTTGGTCAGCCAGTTGTTGGAGCAGCCCCCTAAAACTCAATTGTTCATTTTGATTGGGAACCGCAGGAATCCACTGGGAATCAACCTGCCCTCAAAAGGTTTGATAGCAATGATGTACATCCTAATCATGGTCTCAACAACTTTTTGCAAAAAAAAGTTCGGGTCCAGATTCTTGGATAGAGGGAACCCGTATTGAACCCGTATAGACCCCGTATTTACACCGTACAACCCCGTATATTTTTTTGGAAACCCAGGGTTTGTATAGGAAACCCAGGGTTTGACGAACCCGTATTGAACCCGTATAGACCCCATATTTTACCCGTACCACCCCGTATTTGAAATATGGGGTTCGGGGGGTCTCCAACAGCTCCGTTTTGCAAGGCATTTTGCAAAATTCAATGGCACCAGTTTCAACTATGTGGTTGGTCTGCCAGCCTCCTTTGCGATGTTGAGGTGCTACAAAGGATCTTAATTCGTTAGCCGAAGCATTCGGATTGGACCTGGCCAAAAAGAGACTGTCCACTGTACTGGATCTGTGGCAGATTCGAAATTTGAACTGTTTTGTTTGCAATTTGGCTACCGCAGTGCCATCCAAAGCTCGATGCGATGCTTTTTGGTTTCAGTGCTTTGTGGGATTTTGTGGGATTTAGGTGGTTAAGAAAAAAGGTTCCATGACCTCGTCCCATTCGGTTGGCTGGAGCTGTGGTACTTTGGCCGACGGTGCGGCCAAAATGGACTTGGAGATTGAAGAGCAGAAACTTCTGAAAGAACTCCAGGCCCCTGTCGCACGCATGAACGCTTTCATTTTAGTACAAACTGCGTGTCCAGTTGAACTTTTTGGTATGACCGTTCGTGTTGACAGGATCTGGATGACGAGATTGGCGATTCTGGTCATGTTCAGCCACCCCCAACTCCTATAGAGGCAAGAACCTTAGGGCAAATTATATGTGACGTTATAACTGTTAAATTGTTGTATATAGTTCCGAGGAGCATGGACAGCCTTTCGTGGAATCTTACGAGACCATACCAGCCTAGAACTTAGAAAGTTATCGATTCTCCTCAACCCTCTTTCCCAACCAAGACACCAATTGACCAGCGCGCAAAGGCCACTGCAGAGGAGCTGGCTGCCATGATGGGTTCGGGAGCTTCATCCTAAGTGGCAGTCTTTTTTCCACCGGTTTTTCCATGAGTGGACTGAACCATTGAATGAATTTTGTTTATATAATTGTTTTGCTCAGGGTGGGCCAGAGGATGGTGCAGATCCCAAGACAGTTGAACCGGTTCCACCTGTAGCTACTCCGGCGAGGAGCGACGCTTTGCCCTTGGAGGTTGTTTTGGTACCGGATGAGGAGACCCAGGAACCGACGGCTCCCAAACCTGAGACCAAACCCTCTGAGAGCATTGAAACTCTTCAGAATGGCGGTGGCCCGAATGACGCTGACCAAACGAGTGTTACAAAGAGGGACGCTTCACCTCCAGTGGAACCAGAGCCGGACGACTCTGTGGACCGCAAGGCCCGCCCAAGATTTGATGTTCATGCAACATGCGTGCATGCATGTGGCTGTACAGATCGACCTTCATGATAACAGGTAACATGCATCGATCCTTTAATGGATTTAATGGACACCTTTCCGTTGTTCGAACATGGTCCCCGCTCATCCCAGTTCCCTCTCTGCAGGCAAAGCTCCGTGCTGCAGCCAAATCGCGACTCAACCGGTGGGTGAGGCCGCACAAGAGGCAACCTCACTTGAATGCACCACAGTGGCTCCAGGATGAATGGAAGTCAGGATGTAAGAACATGATTGCCGACCTGCTCAGTCATTTGAACTTCAACAAGGTTCGAGGTCTTTGCAAAACAGCTTAGTCGATCTAACCCACATCCAGGCACATGCGTTTGAGATTAAGAGGTGCATGAATATAAAGGGTGGAAGTTGCAAAGGGTAGAGATTTCGATCCGGTTTTCGCCGACCCTGTCCCAGGAACAGTTCCTCAACAAGCTTCTGATCAGTGTCTCGAAGAAGCAAATGATTGAGTTGACCCAGGAGCAGGGCTGGTATTCGGAAGCTGAGCTGGTGAAGCTTGGATGGTCCGCGCCAGGGTCTCATATATGTCACAGTCAAATGAGTCAACCAACCACAGGTCTGACCGAATTCCTCTTGAACACCTTTTAGTTGAACTATAATGTTGAACCACAAAGATTGTCCCACTGTAGGGCCCGCATTGCGGGGGCCATCCAAAGATGCAAGGCGCTGGGTGAATCTCACTTTAGGCAGGGCTTCATGTTTGACTTGTGCCATCCAATCCACTTCTGTGTCCAATTCTCTCGGGGTCAATTGATATATACAGGTTCAACCAGTACGACGGAGAAGCCGAGTACTGGGTCACGATAAAGGAGGTGGGAAAGAAGGTCTAATCTGCTACGTACGAGGAGTTGCACCAGCAAGAACGGGAGGCCATGATATATATTACAGCCTATATACGCAGCATCGAATTTGGAACAGGTGTGTCCTTCTTTCTTCTATACAGCTTACCTGCCAGCGGTTATAGCTGGCAAGGCCACTGGGAACCCTGACTTTGACTTTGGCATGGACAAGTTCAACATGCTGGAGGCGGACAAGTCAAGGACTGCTAAGGCAAAGGAGGCCAATGACGTACCTGTGGTGCACGGCAAGCATGCTCAGGCACCTGGAGAGAACATCCTATATAACACATGGGAAGAATACGTGTTTTATCAACAGTTAAACCTTGATATCGACATCTTTTCTTAATGTCGACCTTTTGTGACCTGACAGACTCGCGACGCCTTGAAAAAATTTATGGACAGCTTGATATCGAAAACGGGGAAGTTGAGAAGCCTCATCCGCGATTTGGAGACCAAATTTGACGACCCGGCAGCAAAAGCGTAGATGCCCTAGACAAATCGGTGTGTACCAACATGCAAGGGAAAGCTCTCACAAAACGGTTGAACCAAGTGGCATCTCATCCACTAAAGAAACACTCTTTGGCAGCATCATCCGCTCTGCGCTCAGGTGCATCGCGTCCTTGCAGACACAGGTGCAAAAGGTGGATGAGGCGTACGATCAATGCAACACTGCTTGGTCGAAGGGGGAAGCTGAAGGGTTCTTCACTGATACGTTCTTCACTCAACTGCTGAGTCAAAATTATAATGGATGGATATAACAACGGTGTTCGGTATATCTCTCTGAAGTGGTTCAGTCTTGCTTCTGAGGTTCTACAATCTCGCCGAACAGAAAATGAAAGCGGGTACATATGTGTCCCCTCCTCACATGATCTTTGGTTGTAGTGCGACTGATGAACATTAAAGTGCTTGATAGCTCTGTTGGTTTGTTGTCTCGATCGTATATCACTGGCCAAGGTGTGCCGCAGCCTCTGGCGTCGAAATGAAGATCAGGATTGGGGATCGAGTTGCTAAACATGCACGTCCAGCTCGATCGATTTGTTGACTGTCCGGGCCCACTGGGTCTTTTGTATTCAAGCAAGATTGACTTTTGCAATATAAAATATATAATTGCAAGTTGAGACCAAAAATATGTTTCATGAATATATACTTTGCGCCAGGAACGCCAAGAAATACTACAAGAAGCGGAAGGCGGATGAGATTCCTGATGGCAATGGTGATGACCAGGGCGAAGAGCCTGGTGCGAAAAGGCTCAAAACGGCCACTGCCAAAGCCAAGGTACAGGCCAAAAGCAAGGCCAAAACTAAGGCGAAAGCGGGAGCGAAGTAGAACTTCCACTGCTTAGGTCCCACAAGTTGGATCGGTTGCTCGTGCTAGAACACTGTGTGTCCAGGATACGCAGTGTCCTTTTTGGGGGATACCTGCTCAAGCCTGGGATGTTATTTTTTTCAGTTGAAACAACTTCTTGATTGGTTCTTTTCTTCGTGCACATTCCAGTTGATCCTTTCCCGGGAAATGTGCAGCAATATGTTGGCCAGAGCGGCCATCAATTCCAAGATGTGGTTTTGACCGCATCGAATGTGAAACTTTGGGCAGGGTTCAAAAGAATAAAGGTACGCATGACGTGCATCAAGTCGCAGTTAAAATGTATAGCATCCTGCAAACTTCATGCCATGCCCTCCGCGAATCCCACCTCATGTCATGACCACCCACACTATAGATTTTTATTTGCTGGAAACCGGACATGCCAGGTCAGAAACCGGGCCGCACCATCCGTGGCCTTGCCAAAAGAGTTGGTGAGGGAGTCCGGAACTCAACCTTGTTGTTGGGCAGCCAATCCTGGGGAGTGCACTTGAGGGCAAACATGTGGAGAATATATATAGAGATCGAATGTAAATTGCTGAAGCACGTGTTTCAGCACACCCCACACCGGTTTGATTTGCGCGTGTGGTCAACTTACCGCAGCAATTATATGTTTCCAGGTTCCTTACGAAACGGCGATATAAACATATAATGGAACACCACAGCAGGTGGTGTCACACAGGACCCGAAGCACATCCGACAGCAACCAACACTGATTGATGATCAAGATTGACATCCGAATATGTTCAATAAACTGGATCCTGCGTCGGCTGTTTCTTTGCTGCATGTGGATGCCATGGAGTCTCTGGATGATGAACTGTTTGACCTACTAACATGTCATCGTTCTGACACTTGGGCTACAATTTAATTGGATTGCAGTATAAGTGGTTTCATAGATCGATGGATCGCTATCAGTGTTTCTTCAACTTGGGCCCTGGGTCTTGACCGTGCTACGATTTGGAAAAATATAGAGCGCATAAAAATCGACCTATACCTAAATCGTGATCGACAGAGTAGTCGGGTGTAGGTACCCTCCACACCACCGGCCATACGCTTCCATCAGGATGCTGAGATGCCCTATCCGTGGAGAAGGCCACCAGCCGATCCAAAGCATCCTCCTGGCGCATGCTGGAACTCTATTGGAGCTCATGGGGAGCGTTTGGATTTGACCCCGTCTCATACTCGAACAAGCTTAGATACTACTGGTTTGCACACAGCAGCTGGGTTTTTAGATGTGGTTCAGCGATGCCAAAAGGTGGGGAGCATTGACTTCAAGGTCCCCAAATTTGGAATTCCAGCTGGATCCGTTCTCACGCATGCCCAAAATGTCTTGGACGGAATCTTTTCCAAACATGACCCGTGCATATTCAAAATAGGATTCACTCATGACCCGGAGTGGCGCTGGGGAAATAACCTGTACGGATATCAGCGTGCGTGAGATGGGTGGACAAACATGGTCGTCTTGTACTCGTCTGAAGAGCCCTACAGTCCTGCTATGTTAGAGGCAGCATTGATTGACAAACACCTTGGTCACTTTCCTGAGCATTTGTTTGTATATTTTGTGCTGTTTCCTGTGTATACAGAACAAAACCCCTTCAACCAAACCCATGTGATCAATCTTTTGGACATTTTTGGACCCATGCACACCATCCGCATCCCACAGCTCTCCAGCCCAGGACGTCCTGGCTGCAGAAATGTGAAACGAGGCGGAGGCAATGCCATTCCTCCATCATCCGCCTCAGAAAGCTGGTACTCAACGTACGTCGTGTACAGGTCATTTAAGTTTCCCCCTCCAATCCCAAAGTTGGATATCATAGCACGTGCAGGAGCATGAAGTCTCTAGCGATCTTCATTCATGGCAGTTGTGGGATGTGCTTTGAAAAGTGCGTGAGCTTCCGGATCGAGTTTCGAATTCACCTATTTCGTGCCAAGCATTCAACATCGATCAGACCATCATCGAATATTACAAATTAGAACCCAAAGCTCGAATGCACGCACACATGCCCTTGCACACAACTGCAAGTATTTATATTTCAATTGTTATAATTTTTTTGTCGTTTTGACCAGCTCTTGAAGCAGCAAACCGTGAATGATCCATTTCACTTTCAACTGTGCGCATGTGTCTCTCAATGCCTTCGGTCTCCGAGGCCAGTTGCCGATCAGCAATCGATGCTGCGAGAAACATCGTGGCAGACTTGGGGCACGCATCTGTGGCTAGCTCGGGCGGGATTTCTGATCTAGCCAGATGCCAATTTGGTCATTCAGAAAGGGATACCAATAGAGTGATGGTCAAGAAGTACAACCTTTCTTTGCCAGTTGAAAGGTCGTATCTTGAAACGAAAGGTGCAGTCGGAATTCCAGTGTTGAAGATGACGAGCTGGGCTCGTTTTCTTTTGAAACACAATTGCTGGCATGTACTCACTGGGCTGCTTGCGCCGGATGACAGAAGAGAGAAGGCCATACTGAAGGCATTCTGGGCAAAGTTCCAGGAGCAATGCCCAGAACATGATATTTTCCGGATGGCCCAGTCCAATGAACTCAGCTTGGAATCCACAGCCCCAGTGTGCATACACGGCGACGAGGGCCGGGGGCAAAAACACAAGGCGTACCTTGTGGTGAGCTTCCGGTCTTTGCTGGGGCGAGGTTTGGTGCCTTCTGAGATTGACAAGTGCCGAAGAGGTGTCAAGAAGCCTTTCCTCAAACAGCGGTGCAACTACAAGGGCCACAGCTTCACATCTCGGTTCATGATTGCCGGATTGAACAAATCTGCCTACACTGGAGACAATTCTCCAGTCTTTGAGTCCCTCATGAGCCATTGCGCAACGGAGGCCAGGTCATTGGCTACAACTGGTGTGGTTGATGCAAATGGCCAGACGAAGTGGATGCAGTTGTTGTTCATCACAGGCGATTGGCCTTGGCTGCACAAGTCTGGAAAATTTTCCAGATCGTTCAACAACGTGCAGAAAAGGTTGGCCCAGCAGGTTGCAAAAGGCATATGCCACCAATGCAATGCTGGCATGGCAGGCATTCCCTTCGAGCAGGTGTCGACACGTCGTCCTGTTTGGCTCAGCACTGAGTTCATGGATGAGCCGTTCACCTGTGAGTCGCCGTTCCGGGTCGTTCCACATGATCGATCCAGATTTGCTTCCATGTGGGCGTTCGACTTCTTCCACACGTGGCACCTGGGTGTGGCAAAGGTGTTTATAGGAGGAGCTTTAGCGCTGCTTTCCACAGTGCAGAGTGAGGGAAATGTCGATGAACGCATGGCTACCGTGTCAGCAATTTACAAGAACTGGTGCGTGACCAACAAGCGCCGAGCATGCATCGAGAAATTGACGAAGGAGTCCATCAACTGGTCCACAACTCGCTGCTTCCCTGTTGGAGCCTGGCACAAAGGCGAGCTGAGTACGGTGTTGATGAGATTTGTCGAGGACTACTTGTGTGCCAACCCGTTTCCACAAGAGCCGATGTTGGAATTGGTGCGGCAAGCTGCGATAGCAATAAATGCCAGCATCAGGGCGATGTACAGGTCTGACCTGTGGCTGTCTCGTGATGAGTGCCATGAGGTAGCTGGGAATGGGCCCAGGTTCCTCCGGAGATTTTTGGAGCTAGCCCATCAAGGAGAGCTGCGGAGCATGAATTTGTTTTCCTTCACTCCGAAGATACACGTGTTACAGAAGATTTTTTTGCGAGTGCATTTTGCACAAGTTGCCAACACCAGCCAGCTAAACCCGCTGGCTGTTTCAGTACAGCAATGCGAAGATTTCATAGGCCGTCCGAGCCGGCTGTCCCGGCGAGTGACCGGAGGTCGATTGGCATCGGATAGGGTCATGGATAGGTACTTGCAGTCCTGCTACCATCACTGGATCGAAGCAGGCTACTTAATTAGACCGTGAGTCAGACCAGTTTGTTTTCAAAGGTTATATAGATCGATCACTTTCTTTGAGCTCTTAATTTGCAGTTGTTGAAATGCTTGAGCCGTTTATGCCGATATATACATGATACCATTTGTTTGTTCAATCTTCGCGGCTTCAAAACGCTGCACTGGTCGAGATCACAGTGGCTCTAAGGCCGCGGCTTGGGATTGGAGCGGTGCCGGGATGACAAAAACGGCAGCGGTTGGAAGTTTTCATGCAGCATGTCAAATCCAGAATATGCCCAAAATGGCAAACCCAGGGTTTGCATTCAAGACCTCGGGTTCCGAGGCCCACCCTACGTTTTTCAAAGGTATGGGCTCCTAAGGTATCAAAAACACTATTAGGGCATTACCAGGATCCACTGGAGTTGGGTGGTAGACATGGACACCCCGAATCACATCTAAGCGGCTCTCAATAGAAGCCCGTCCTGGTATAGGTATATAGATAGGCCGTGGTCCGGGTGGTCCGGGCAAAGGCTCAAGGACCCGAACCAACTGCTACATCCTAGTTGTGAGGGTTTGACTACCCCTACCTTGTGGGGTGATTCAGAGTCCGGATCTTCAAGCTGTACTTCGAAATGATATTTCCCAAACACTCCATGTAATCATGCATATATACCATATTAGCCTAGATTCGGGTGTTTTCGGGGGTCAATGAAGGCCTATATTCCATATACACGGAGTGTCTGGGTTTGATAAGTTTGCCTAAGACATAACCAATATGACGCCCTAGAAGTCAAAAGGCGATATTTTCCCTGGCCCGGTGAAGTAAAGGAAGTTCCCGAACTCAGCTACCTCAAAGACCATTCTTTTGGTAGTCTTTGACTCTCAAGGGACGTCAATTGTCCTGCTGCCTACCGGTTATAGGGAGGTATTATAGCCCCAATCTTAAAAAGTTTTAAGCTTTTGCTCAAGGAAACGCGAAGAAAAACACACCGAAACCTAAGGGGTTCAAGGGATTCGCGTCGAGGAACCGGAAAAAAAACACACACGTTCCATCACCCGATCCGTTTGGCGGCCGCCCGTGGCGCGAGGTTCTTGGGGGTCGTGGGGGTCGAGCAGCATTTGCGCCAACCGGCCAATGAGCTTGTGCTCCCAAGCGATAAAGACGCTGCTCCCATGGGGCACCGCCTGAAGACGCTGCTCCCAAGCGGAGTCGAAGGGTTTTTGCTGCATGCTGCTAGATCCTTCCACAAAGCAATTGTATAGGCATGCACAGGGATTCATCAAATTCTTTCCTGCTGATTTAGTGGTATCATCTCAATATATATCTCAATGTATCTCCAGTATGTTGCCTTATAAATCAGCGCAAGCACACGGTTCCCATTGTTCCCATCATGGAACATCACAACTACCCTGTTCCTTCAAAGCTATTGGAATTCAGTTCACCGACTCCACATCTGAACAGCAAAAAGCTATGACGAACTGCGTCTTCAGATCCGCGTCTTCGGACCCACACAGTCCCCAAAAAGACTTCTGGATGGAACTCCCCAGTCCCTGTCCCTGTCTACTATGTAATCTAGGATCTCTCTCACTGGCGCCTTGTTGGAACAACCAGGTCTCTCTGGTTCTGGTGGTTTCTGGGCTTCCAGGTCGGGATAAGAACCAGATTTCCCCCAGCTCTGCCGGCGCCATGATGATTTCACCATCGCCCCGCCCCGCCCCGATTTCACCACGGAGACCTCGCGGTCGGTCGGTCGGTCGACGTGCGCGGCGCGGGCGACCGTGGCGCGCCTGGACGTAGCGCGCAAAGGCGTCGATGTCTTCGAAATCGATTTCGTTGTCCTCACCGAGTGATGTTGTGGACCCCCTAGACTTCCAAGACCATTAAAACAATGGTTGACCTGGTTTTTGTAGTGTAAAATCATTAGTTGATTGGGTAAAGCCTATTAAATTTGCTTGTGCCCTCGCACCTGTTTTTCACTTCGATGTTGAAACGGCTTCGAGTACAGTTCTCGTTTTGTGCGTGTCTCTCTGACCTGCACTCCTCCCTGGTCGACATGTTTTTCTTCTGACGACCAGTCAACTGAAAAGTCCATCAGCTCAAGCCGTTTGTACGGCAAAGCTTGCATTGGCGGATCTCGAGCATTGTGCCCGTCACAGCAGCACAGCGCGCATCCACATGGTGGGTGCCGAGCTGGTCCTCAAAGATGTAGTTCACTTCCGCCAAGCTTCTCTGCCCTGGCTCTTGTGCGACATGTTGGCACCTTCCACAAATTGGGTGTCCTCTTACCCTGTTTGCATTTCGAAGTCCTCTGCATTCTCGCCTTCGATGAAAGCATCGACTAGACTCTGCAAACCAAGCCTCCCATGGAGCCTCCAAAGTGAATCTCCTTCGCCTTCCTGTCAGGGAGACTTGCAACTGCTGTTCCACTGGCTGATCCATCTGATTCGGAGGGTCCCCATGTGGTTCGTCCTGATTCAAGTGTTCATCAGCACGAACTCCTTGAGTCTCTTGAGTTCCGGAGTCATACTGCTCTGCAGAACGAATGTCATTTCCCCTCGTAGATGACATCGAGCTCCTGGAAGTGCTTCCGCCACAGTGCCTCCCCTGGCATTGACGCCCTTGCACTGTGTCTGATCTTCCACTTCTTTCGCCACTCGACCTGGTAGTAGACCTTGTACTCGATGTAGTATACCATCCGTTGTCACCCTCATACTCCTCATGGTCGGGTCTTCTCTTTGTCGATTCCAACGCATGTGGCATCATTGGAGGACCTTCATCAGCACCATTCCTAGGATCATCATGATCACCCCGAACATGTAGAGCACTTCAGAGCCATCGTCATTTCCTGACTCTTTCTTTGTGTCGTTTTGTACAGCCAATGCTCCATGAATCTTCTGGAACATCGTAATGACCGTCACCAACTGTGCGATCTTCTTGAAGTCGTTCTCCAACCACAGGCGGTGCACAACAGGAAGACTCATCTTCTTGCCTGTCTCCCCCTTTTGGTTGCCACCCCATCTCCATATTTCGCATAAGGTTCTGCATGCGAGTTGGTGCTAGCACCTTCGTCCCGATGTCAGCGACCAAGTCCTTGCCGGGCTCATACTTCAACCCCCAAGACCCAGCTTCAAGTTTCCATCTAAGATGTGCTGCCCTCACCTTCAGGTGGCGCGTTCTCCATGCTCCTGTAGCTGAACTTCCCAAAGCAATGGCTGCCGTGTTGTCACACTTCAGGACCTTTGTCATGTTTCCAGCCATCTCCTCAACCAAGCAACTCACACTGTTTGCAAGGATGACTGACTCAATGACCTCAATCAGCTCGGCCTCTGCAGTGGATAGTGCTGGAAAAGGCTGTTTGGAAGATTTCCATCCAATCGGTGACCCACCCAACAGAGTGATGACAGCTCCATGCGAATGTCCTCCTCCAGGCGCAAACGAAGCATCACTGGTTGACTCTAGTCCAAAGCCACACTTCTTGCGGTACCAGATGCCAACTCCTTGAGAGTGATTCAGGTAGCGCATGACCTGATATATAGGACGCCTCCAGGGCCCAGACTGGAGCTCTAGACGTAGACGAGCAGATCCTGCTCACAGCGTAGGAGATGTCTGGTCTTGTCTTCGTGAACAGCCATAGTAGTTCACCCGCTGCTTGTTGTGCTGCTCGAATGTCATGTGTAGTTTTCCCAGGTTCATCTTCTGGTTCGGCTGTCGTCCTCATCATCACCAGGTTGGATGCTCTGGCGTCCATGGAGTGCCTTCTCAACAACTCTCTCAGGTTGATGAAGAAGCCTTCCGTGTTCCTGTAGATGTCAATCCCACAGAAGCGCAACGGATCTTCTCCAGCCCACTGTGGTTCCGTTGTCTCCCAAGTCTGAGACACCTTCTTCGTCGCCTCTTCAACCACTTGAGGATCTCCAAGGACCAACAGGTCATCGACATAGACCAATGTGCCAACCCACGCACTAGGCCAGAAGACCCATCTGCTCGGTCCTTCTCTCTCAGGATCCAAAGGTTCTCTTCTGCAAAGCTCTGGTTGAAGGCGATCCGAATGTCGTTTACCTTGAACTCCATAGTCGACAGTTGATTCTTGAACTAGGCCCAACCGAATCAGGATCCGTGGGGGTTGCATCAGGACCAAACGCTCCCTTCGGTTTGGATCCGTCTTCTCCTCCACCTCTGGCTCCATTGGTTGTTGCCCACCTTCTTCTCGATCTTCCAGGGCCTGAAGCTTCTTCTTGCTTTCCTCCACCGTGCACAAAGGGGCATTCAAGAAGGCCGTTTTCACGTCCGTGTAACTCACGACTTTCACGAACCCTCTATCGGTAAGGACAGCATGTCCCTTCGACACCTCAGGAACTGGTGTGAGATACTTCACCTGCTCTCCAGTGGGCTCGAAGGCTCCTTGACGCTGAAGCTCCCAGGATCTCTTCTTTACCACCACGGTCTGTCCAAAGTGAGGTAACTTCTCAGTGATCTTCTCCCTTCGACGTCTCTCCAGCTCCACCACATGCCTTGCAGCTGCTGGCCACCAACACACTTCCATCCCAGCTCCGTCGGACTCTCTGCTTGATGGAGTTGATAGCTGCCTCCGCTCTTCCATTCTGGGCATGTTCATCAGGGCAACTGGTAGTTCTCGACAGTCCCCTTTCCAAGCACCATCGCCTGAATGAACCATTGCAGAACTCCCGTCAGCCTCCCATTCCAGGTTGCAGCAGGTCCTTGATCAACCGACCAACTGGGACTATGGGCTCAACCCCTTCATCTACATGGACCGGCACCTGCCCTTCTGTCATCCGCAAGGTGAGCCGTCCCCCTGCAGCCAGCGACACTTGGACTTGCCTGTACCGCTCCGGTTCTCTCCCGGTCGTCGAGGTCGTAGTGCATGAGTTGCCCCGGTATCCACAAGTCCATTGCTTCCAGCTTGAACCCTTGCCACTGACACTGCCTTCATCGTTGGAGTAGTAGGCCCCTCCTTGATCTTCCTCAAGGCCTCAACCAAATCCGACTCCTTGGACTTCTCCCCCTGGAGCGACATGCCCCTGAGCATTCTCTGTGCTTCATCCAACACCTGCTTCAAAGCATCTTGATTACCTCCCTCCATCAGTTCCGACCCACATGTCGAAGGAGGTGATCCTGGATTCGGGAACACTGAGGACGACGTTTCCGACGGTGCAGACGACGAAGCTCCTCCCACATCCTTCACCTTCTGGATCTTTGGCTTAGGATCGGGGCGCTTTCCATCGCCCTTGCCGCCATCTCCACCAGTAGCTCCAGCATTGTTCGTCTCCTTTCGAGTGCCCCACAGACATAGCACCTCTTTTCGCCAGGCTCAGCTTGATGCTGCCATCGGCATGCTGCTCCTCGTCGGCATCCTCCATCAGTTCGAAAGTATTTGCAGATGCCCGGACTCCCGGACTCTTGCCTTCTCCTTTCTTTTCATCAACAAAGGCCGCCTTGATCTGTGGACCTCCTCCCTGATTGCCAGCTCTCGGAGCTCCCGCAGTCTTGGGCCTGACTCGATGCATGAGTTGTTCAAGTTCAGCAAGTAAGTGCTCAGCATACGTTTTGACCGTCTCCTCTGTGGGGATCGTGTCTAACTGCAACGTGTTTCTCACCAGTGAACATCTGAACTGCAAGTCCGGCTGCTGGGCCAATACCTTCTGGCTCAGCCTCATGATGCCCTTCATCAGAATCGTTGAGTCAGGAAGATTCAAACCAATGTCTGAGGCCCGTCGAAGCCAGCGCATCCACTTTCGCAACCTGGTGCATGCCTCAGCTGGTGAAGTTGCTTCCGACGGCTCTTCAAGTTGTCTCAGGATGATAGACCGCTCATGCGTCCCACCCGGTTGATACAAGACCATGAGCTTGCTGACCAGCCTCAATGGAGAAAGTGCTCTCGTGGCCACCAGTTCCTCCTTCACGCTCGTTGGCACAGCTGCAAGCATCATGCTAATGGCCCGCTTTTCCACCCGGACCCATTTAAGCTTCTGCAACTCCAAGGAGGGCTCGATGGCGCAGGTCGCTCGTTGAAGTGGTCGAAGATGGATGTAGTGGCTATACCATTTTCGTGCCTCATCCACCACCAACTCCCACCATTGCCCCGAGGAGTCAATCAAGTCTGTCATCGCTGGTTCTATCAACGTGAGCCAGTCAGCCAAGTCTAGAGGCGCCGAATCCGCTGGTTCGGGAAGCGTAGGAAGTGTCACAGTTCCAGGCTTCACCGACTCTGGGGCACCGTCTCGGCTCTCCTTTTCCACAAGATGGTTGACCAGCTTGGCCATCACCTCCATCATCTTCTCACCCTTGACCCCACCTTGACTTCCTGAGGCTTCGGGCTGAGTCGGCTGGGTTGCCGTTGATCTCCTCCGAGATTGGCCAACCCCTTTTCCACTGACCTGTCGGAGCTCCTCTTCATAGGCCTTGGCTCTAGCTGCCAACGACCCCTTTGTCTGCTCCTCTGTAGGTCCCGATGTTCTCGGCCCTTGCAACGACCTTGAACGCTCTCGTTGTGCCCGTCCACGACCTCCCCGATTGCCAGGGGCAGGAGTGCCCATGAGGGATTGAAGCTGTTCGAACTGCTGCATTGGCGTCAGCTCATAGAGACGCTTCCTCTCCTTCTCAAGGTCGATCTCCTTCTCCTGCTCACCTGCTGTCATCTCGAGATGGCGCTTCACAGTGTCTCCACTCCCAGGTGTCCGAAATCCTGTTGCAGGTCGTGCACCTTAGCCTCCAAGCTTGCTCGCTGGAACTTCATGGCATCCATCATCTCGGCCTGTTCCACCCGAAGTTGCTGGTTCTCTTGTCTCAGCAATTGCAAGCATGGTCATAATCTCTTGCGAGTTCGGTGGGCCTGACCCATAGTGATGTCCATGCTGCCATCCACCAACCCCAAGCCCTTGACCTTGTAGATGCGGTCCTCCAGCAAGTAGTGGATTCCCTCTTCCTTCATTGTGAGGCATCACATACCCTGGAGGTCCGCCTTTGCCATACCCTGTAATGATATGACGTTCTTGGTATTCCGGTCCATGGCCTCGTGCTTGAACCGCAAGTTGATCTTGTAGTCGAGTTCGGTCTTCATCGCTCTCTTCTGGCTCTTCCACTTCCGGGACTTGCTGATTCGGTGATCGGCCTCTTTGAGGTTCCCGAAGATCATGTCCTTGGCCAGGGAGAGGAGATGGAGTTCCCGTGTCGTGCTCTGTTGAGGTGGCTGTACCTGGTCTTGTACTTCACCACCTGGTCGCCACACACTCTCTCGAGGCATCTTGGCGTAGAGATGAGGTGCTTGGCTCTGAACTTCACGAAGATCTCGAAGCTGCTCAGGCGAGAACAAGGGCGTAGTCGGTCCCAGACTCGTCGGTCTTCTTACAGGACCTTGGAACTCCCCTTGCTCCCCATCCTCCAGAGCCAGCTGCTGTTCTCCTTCTTCATCATGTCCTCCTTCATCCAGCCGCTCGCCATCCGCCAGCAGCTCAGCCACTCCATCAACTTCGGGCCGCTGCTGTCGCCGGCGTCTCATGGCCATGGCTTCACTTGTGAAGGGCGGCCCCACATCAACCTGTGAGGACTTACACCTGCGTTGGGCTCATAACCTGCTTGTCTCGCACCTGTTTTTCACTTCGATGTTGAAACGGCTTCGAGTACAGTTCTCGTTTTGTGCGTGTCTCTCTGACCTGCAAAATTAATGGCTGTTGGAAGCCTAGGGCACCGATGAAGAGGGTGCTGTTGTGGACCAGTGACTGACATCGTTTTTCTTCGACTATCTCTACCAGGACCATCCGTTTGAGGTGTCGATAATAGCCTCGTAAAGAGGTGATTCGGATCGCAAAAAAGAGTTGAGGTGCAGTTCACCCGAGAAAAGGATGTTTACTATATTATCCCGATCTCTTTGGACCCAACGACAAATGCCTCTCGGCGCCCAACGCAGGTTCTGAAGCAGAAGAATCAAGTCGAGACACTGGAATACCAGTCAAATCTGTCGTGACTGAATTCCAAATACAAAAGGCTGTACACCGCAAAACAAGGCCCATGAACAAAAGCCTCCCCTGAAAGCTGGGCTAGACACGCTAAGAGCGTAAAAGCTCAAGTGGTCCAGCAAAGCCATTGTAGTTAGTTTACTCATAACTGAGTTAACTCGTCAATTGCATTGGTCCATGTAGTTTCATCTTGCCCTAAAGATCCAGACCCTCAAAAACTAAGGGTAATTTCAACCCTGTTATAGAATGTTGTAGAGGGTTCGACCCCTCCGAAGCGGTCAGGTTCAAGGATCCTGAAGATCCTGAAGGTGAGCTATCAAATACACTATCAAATCCTATCACCCTGATGATGCTCCAAACAGCCCGACCAGTCCCTCAAAACGGGGATTGGTTCGACCCCAGATCCCTCCAGATTCGGGTCCAGGGTCGCGTCTTGGCAGCCTCACAACTGCATCAGCTGAAGGGCTCCTTTGGGCTCCTTATTTGACTCAGGATGTCATTTTGTGAGGTTGAGATCAGCTGCTGAAGATCACTCTGGAGTCGATTCCTGGAGTGAAGTCAACACCGTTCACCTCAGGGTGTCACCACCAAAAAAGCCTCATTCAGGGTGAACCCAGCGACTCCGTTCGCACCCCAAACCCCCCCCAGACCGGTCCAGTGGGATCTTCAAGGCCTTGGCTAAAGGCTCCTGGGCGGACCGACGTCTCTGTCGCTTGGGGAAGCCGCGTGCGACAGGGATAGAGAGCCGGGATTTCGGAGTGAGTTCCGCCTGAGATAGTTTTCGTACCTGGGACATCACGAAGGACATGAACTGGGATGAGTGATTCATGACCCCGAAGCAAAAACGGCCGATTATAAGACTGTATACCCATCTAGTACCCCGACTGAGTGAGGTGGTTAGAACGGGTCGACGTCCAGGTCTAAAGAGATATAATGGCACAATGGGTACCAGCCCGTCACCGCCAAGAAATTGCCGCTTGGGCTCCAAAGTTTCCTTCGGTCGCGTGGAGTTGTGCCCATGAATGGTCTGTCGCTTGGCTGCCAAGAGGTGCGAGGGAGGCCTGAGCAGGACGAGCATTGAGCATTGGAGCGAACCGAGCGCTCGTCGGGAAAGAAAAGAAGAGCAAGTCCAGGTGTGGGGATTCACCCTGTTCGGGAAGCAATTTTCACCAAAACTGACTGGTGCGTCTCACAGGTGGCTGGATCCAAATAGAATCTCCAAAAATGGGGCTCATTCCCTTATTCCCTACAAGTCGCACCAGTAAACTGAAAGCATCCGAAAGCCGCTTCAGCCAAGAGGCCCCTTGGGGAAGGCTAAGGTGGGCGCGGAAGGACTCACGCAGTGGGCAATGTATTGCGCACCTGGGAGAGTGTCGTGCTGGTTTTGGGGCGATACTCAGAACCTGAGGCCAATCGGGCATGGCATGGCATAATCTTGAACATGATGCTCAGTGGTAGGATGAAAGACCAAGACATATACCAATGCAAGACCATCCATGGGATGAGACTGTTCTTTTTCAAGGCTTTCAAACCTTCAGCTCACCTACCAGGGCCTTACCACCACTTCGGAAACACACGGCACTGGGCACTGTGAACTTCTCCTTCCGAATTCCCCTTTCTCGGACGGTGCCGGAGTCGCCGGTGAACCGTGAGCAGTTCCGAGCAACTACTTGGACCTTCAAAGAGGTGTTCTGTTTGGAGATGCAACAGACAAGGCGTACCCGTACCCATGCGCCCCGCGCAGAGATCTGGCAGGATGCCGCAGGATGCCGGACCGTCGTTTTAGACCGGACACCCGCATATCTCTCAACCAGCAAGTAGTTGCTCCAATATCATTTCACCAAATATGGCTTACTTGAGATCCGTTTCATAGGAAGTGGCGTTCCATCTAAAACTGCTTCCACATGACACCCCCCCGACCTCACGTGACCTTCGCGGGGGCGGGCGGGGCGCCCATCCTCTACCCTGCCGTGCCACGGTCATAGCCTGCCGGAGCTAGGTGGGTGATGCTCTTGTCCGCAAAGCGCTCTCCATGTCGGATCAGGTTCAACAGTGCATGCTCCGTGGCGGCCACGCACAGGGGAGCAGCAGCAGCGCACAGCACGAGCCATTTCGGGAGCAGCGACATGGGGACCCACGACGTTTTGGTCCAGAGAGTGCGTTGTGGGGGTGGTTAGATGGAGAATTGCGGAGGTTGAAGCGAGGACAAGAAGTGACCAAAGATCACACAATTATACTTGCCATACTGGCTATAAAAACAACTGTCAATCGATGATCTTGGCATTTTCAGGATCACCGTCGGCTGAGATCGCCAAATGATACTGGAGTAGTTCAAAGAATGCTCCTGTAAAGGTGTTTAACGTGTGTGATTTTGGGTCTGCACATTAATGTGAAGCAACCTCCCTTACCTAGTCAGAATTTGACCTGTGGTCCCATGGATCCTCTCTTCTTCTATGTCTGGAAGGTGCTTGGAAAGCCTTCAGGCCAAGCGAGCCAACATATAGATCGCAGGTTACTCCGCTCACCAATCAAACTGTTTCCTCAACAAAGGTTCGAGCTACATGTTCACGATGTTCAGGGATCGAATTACTTTTGTAGCAGGGGGCTAGTGCAACAAAAAAATATAAATAACAATATCGAGAAAAAAGAAAGGATGTCCCTTGTTCTGTGTAGCAGCTCGAGCTTGTAACGAGAACTTCATGGCAGTGAGTATTGCTCAAAGATTCGCGTCCAAATAACCGCACGCTCGAGCTTGGAACGAAACATGTGTCGACTGGAAAATCATGGGTCAACAAAAAAATCGGGGCAACAACCAGGACACCGTGTTCGGGGCTTCTATTGATAGCCCCAATTCGTTGTTATATAAGGGGTGTCCATATGTCTACCACCCAACTCCAGTGGGTCCATGTCTACCGCTGGCACAGCGGAAGCACAAGGTCAATTCCCTTTGGACCTGAGGGTTGGACCCTTAGACCTGAGAGTTGGACAGGAGTCCACCCCCTCCGAAAGCCATGTGGGCCAATGACGGGCTTTCAAGACAAGACCACCCCAATCCACCCCGGTCGACGGCGTTTTTTCCTTCACGTCGAGCAAAAACCCACCCAGGTGAACTCCGCCCCCCCGCATTTTGGGGGGTCCAAGTCTCAATTGGTCCATCCTCCTCCGATGCATGGAGGTGGGACCAATTGCTTCCCACGTGTCGACACGTGCTCAGTGGTATACCTGCCGGATGGACCCTCTTCTGCCCGTCCCCTTCCCCCGCTCGGTCCTGGCCGTGTCGCCGAGCAGTCCACCCTGCAGTCGAGGCAGAGCGGAGCAGTGAGCGTCCTGGCGGAGCGCCGCCGACGGCGGGTGTGGTGTGGTGGCGAAGTGGTGGGTGGTGGTGGCCGGCGGGCCGGGCGGGCGGGTGGGTGTGGGTGTGGGTGTGGGTGTGGGTGTGGTGGGTGGTGGGTGGGGTCCCCTTAGCTGGCCCACCATGGACCATGGAAATGCATGGTTGGAACACCGAAACACCCTTGCTTTTACTATCGGAACGTTTCACAGAACAACAACCAGGTCCACTATTTTTTTTTACAGGTCTTGGCAGGCTATAGGGTGACTCATCTCAAAAACATGATTCGAAGCTACAGGCATCAACAAAAGTTGAGCAAGTATATCTGGATATGAACACTGACCACCTGCATCCATCTGGCCACAGAAAGGTCTCATGGGGTCTTCAGTAAGGGGCCGAGAAGAGTGGGTTCCTTGCAACTGAATACTTGTGCACCCATCCCCTTCTTGTTTCACCCTGTGTTTCACCCTTTGTCGCATGAATCCTGCACACGAAAAGGGAGTATTTCACCGGTCGCCCCCAGGTCCACCAACCATTTTCACTGAACCTGGGGTCGACCCGGTTCGTAGCTCAAAGTCGGGGCCCCAGATCTCTATATCTACCAGGACCCGATGATCTACAGGTCTCCTCCGAAATGGTGGCTGAAATGAAGACTGAGTCGCGACGGTGCTGACCTGTGTATCGTCGGGTCCTGTTAGGCTCCATGTCCCATGTCTTCGCGACCGACGTCCAGTCCTCTGGGGTCCTCCGGGCACCGGGGTGGGGGGGGTGCCGGTGGCCATGGCAGCTGAGCGAAGCCATGCGCACCGGCTTCGGTTGCAGAAAGACTTCAGGTGATGAAAGTGGAAGTGACCTATGACTCTATGACCAGAAAAGAACCCACTAAAGAACCTCTATAGAATCTGTACACATTTAATGTGGATGCATGCAACTATAATTGTTTTATTGATATTTATTGTATTTTTTGTTATAATATGTTTAGTTTAAACTGTATCACTATATCGACTATATCGGTGGCGACTCTTTTATAGGAGCGGTCAACAGGTGTTCTTCAAATCTACTAAAGTGGTCTTTGGAAGCGTTGATCATGGCGAGGTCGAATTCATGTCTCCTCTCCGTGGACCCCAGACTTTGGGGATCCAGTGCAGGCTGCATGTGGCCCAAGGCGACGCGCCGAACCCGACGACGAGCCGAACGTCCCGTCTGCCACGCGAGTCGTCGAAAGTGAGGAAACCTTCCCATCAGGTCCCACATCGGATCAGGATCCACCTCATTGGAAACCTCAAAGAACCAACAAACATGTTCCAAAACGTTCCACCCAGTCACAAAGGGGTGCTTAATGGAGGTTAGGGGTGCCTATTATCCACTCACTTGGGGACCAAACATCACCCCTTTGTGACTCCTGGACTATGGCTGAAGGCTTGAGATCCTTCACATCAAGTGGTTGGGACTGTGGGGTTTTCCATGGCCTGGCGAGGGCGAGCACATGGCTGCACGTGCTCCGGGGGGACTCTGGGCATCGCAGGCCAATCATATATTAGGTGGCATCACCCTTGGAATCCTTTTCCCAAGCCCTAGGCCTCAAACCACCTCCTGAGGAGGTGGGCCAGGGGTAGGGTTTTTTGGTCTAACTACCTTCTGCCTAGGGAAGGTTCAAACGTATGACTCAATTCTGCTTATGAGGCCACCATGGATTGGAGCTCTGGAGCGAGCGTGTGGCGTGGCGACTTCACCGCATCGACCTTGACGAGCTTGACCCGGTTTCAAGTACCTTAGACTTAGAAAATATGACATGACTATGACAATGAAAACAGGTACAACATGGTACGACCTTGGCCACATAGACTCTGAGGTACGTGGAACCGGGTCGACTGACCCAGTGGATCCCTCAAAACTGGATGCCACACAGTTCTCAAAAGCCACCAAAACCCTTGCCATGTGAAGGTCCCTTGCCATGTGAAGGTCATCCCCCCGGAGCAGTTCAATTCTCAAGCTGCCCGACAGTTGTGTCTCGCCTGAGGCAGCGAAGTCGTCCGGGTGTTCTTCGGCTCAAAGTCGTCCGGGCTGGAAGTGGTCGGTGGCTAACAAGAGAGGTTAATCCACTGGGGTACCTATGGGATAGTCTATTGGGTCCTTCAACCTCTGTTGCCATCCATGAAAGCCAGGAAAAACCCAGAAGTTGTCCAACCACGTTGAGCTAGCTCGTTTCAACCAAAGCAGTTGACGATCTTTTAGTGGTAACTGGGGTCCTCTGGGCAGCTGTTCCGGGCGTGAACCCTCACTTGGCAAGGGGCAACACCGGCCATTTTGCGGGTTACAAACCTAAATGAGGGTTGATGGTCTTCCGTGAGTTTTTGTTCCATTTGCAATCCAGTTTCCTGCTAGCTGTCTCAAGAGATGGAAAACACTCCGAAAACAACGGGGTCGGTCCATCGACCATGATACGAACAACCCAAAACCCAACGTGGGATTTTCCAACTGGTCAAACGTCATAAACAAACATGGTCAACCGCCATGACGACCATTGACATTGACAACGCGCAAAATTCTGGACTGCCTGAGAATCCGGGCCCTCAAACACATAGGGTTTTGAGGGTACGACACCTGCCATGGAGGGCCCAAAGATTCTTAGGGTTATCTGCACGAATCCTCGGGTCATCCTCGGACATCTTCAAACGGAAACGCGCCCACTGAAGCACACTTGGATTGATGCTCGCAAGAGCTACATCAGTTGACGAAGTTCCACTTTACTGCAGGTAGACCTTTACACGCAGTTAGACCTTGGCTGAGGGAACGGAAAGGTGAAAGGGTCCAGAAAACAGAAATGTTTCAACATCGGCGCATTAGCTCTTTACAGCGGGAGGAGGGTAACAGCTTGTCAACAGTTCAAAAAGGAGGCCTGGTCGTAGTTTTCATGAGAAGAGAGTTGAATAGGAGTGAAGTGGTGGATGTTGCCATGGGAGTGCCAGTAGCGCAGGGAGAGTTCAGCGGAGACTGGGATGTTGTTTTGAAGTTGCTTGAGCTTGGCACGTCTGTTGTGTTCTCGATGTGGTATGCCGACAGCAGTGGATCCCACATAAAAGTGGCCATGTTGATGGTAGCACCGCTGTGGTGTGATGGTGTTGAAGTGGAGCTTGACGTAAACTGAGTTGGGGGAGAGAAAGTTGTGGTAGTGGTAAGTGTGAGGAAGCACTTGAAGGTGCCGTAGGCGGTGGCGCCATTGTTGGGAGCGTTGGGTGGATGATGGATAGCAAAAAAGAAGTGTGATGTGGATGAGGCCAACAGCAAAAATGGCTTCTGCGCGTTCGATGTATTGGCTGTGGTGAATGAGTGTGGAAAGGGCTCTGTGCAAATGGTAGAGTTGTTGCAGGTGTGTGGTGTGCGGCATGTTTTGGCTACAAAGAGAGAGTCAGCAAGCAACCGCGGCCCCTATGCTGACGATGTGCTGCAAGCTCTTAATAGTGAGTTTATTGACACGGCTGAGTGGCAAACCGTATCGTGTAGCCGCTTCTTTGAGCTGGTCGGTGGTAACCTTGCTTGTTTGGAGGATGCGGAGCACCTCTTTGGCAGAGTGCCATCAACATCAAAATGGGGCACACCTGATTTGTCATTGTGATTGCGCCAAGCCATACTGCGGATAAAGGATCTTGGCAGAAGCAAATCAAAGTGATCCATCGCTACCATATCCATCACAACTGCAAGATCACTGCCATCCCACGCAGTACCTGTCGCACCAGTAACGCCATTCAAAATGGCGCGTGGATCCAAGTCACCATGACCCACCGGCCAAGCTAAAC